ACAGTGGAAAAAGGTGATCAACGTACATGCTAATCTTTCTTGCAGTTCCAATGTCGGAGCCACGTCAATGGCGCTTTTACTGTGGCAGTTTAATTGAGTTGGATCCGCACCCTCGCTCAAAAGTAGCGAGCACACCTCGGCTCTGGATTTACTAGCAGCTTCGTGCAGCGGGGTGAATGCCCACAAGTCGCTCGCATTAACAGCTGCACCGTGTTTAAGAAGCGCTTCAGTTACCTCAAAATGGCCATAAGAGCAGGCATTGTGGAGTGGAACGAGACCACTGTAACATACACACATCAAAGTTTACAATGTGTTGATTTGATCAAGATATATATTTCACCGACAAAAATAATTACCCTTTATCTTTAGCATGCACATCTGCACCATTTTGGAGCAGTATTTGCACTACTCTAGACCTATTGTATCCAGCAGCTAAATGTAATGGTGTGGATCTCCTGCCATCACTTGCATGGCAGTTTACATTTAATGGGTTTAAAAGCTGTAGGAGACGTTCCTCGTTCCCTGATCTTGCGGCCTCCAGCAATTCATCTTTTTTATACTCCCCTGTTAATACTGGTTTAGTTGCAGGATCTGCTAACTCTAAAGCTGTCTTCCCTTCAGTGTTCCTTATATTTGCATCCGCTCCATGTTGCAGCAGAGCTATACACACATCTATTTTACCCTGCAAAAAGGATCAAAGCATGAACTATGAACTTTGAAACTCAATAAAAAACCAATAAAACAAAGTTAATATCAAAAATACCTTAATGGCAGCTTCGTGCAAAGGAGTGTAATTCCAATTGTCCCTAGTATTCGGATTAGCTCCTGCTTCCAAGAGAAGCCTTACCACATCCGAATGTCCAAAAGAGCAGGCATTGTGCAAAGGATGTAAACCACCGTCATCTCTTGCTTGAATGGATGCTCCGGCAGAGAGTAGGAATTCTACTACATCCCTTCTACCATAACCTGTGTTTAATCACAAAAAGTAATTACGATATTATTACATTAATTTGGTTTAATATATTTTTCCTACTATTTACGACACAATACTAATTGAATAATTGATATTTTGCTCTACGAATTGATGAATAATTAAAAAATACTATCTGCACTGAAGTAATTATTTACAACTTTAGTATGACAACATTCGAAAGTCAGTGTTCGAAGTATTCGACGTTCACGACATGGTATTGAGACATCGTGTCCTCGATCGTGAGTGACTTATAAAGCAGAATTATAGTCCGTGAGTGAAATTTCTTTGGACAATCGAAATGAAAAAAAAACTCATGGAACGGGGAGCTTACCAGCTGCAAAATGCAGAGGGGTGGACTTGCGTCCGGCAGTGTCTCGAGCATTGACCGTCTTCGGTGTAACCAACGCCTTTACCCTCGGGAGGTCTCCGGTTTTGCAAGCCTCGAACAACTCTCTTAAAGGGTCACCATTCCCCGATCCCGACAGGGAATCAGCATTTGTCAACGTCGATCTACGTCCTGCCATTTTTACACCGCCATTTTCACGCCACTGTCCCGACGGATACACTTCACTGGCTCATAGTGTTCAAAGCTTTCACGACGACACCGAGATGAGTTGCTATGGCACAACTCAGTGGCGCCGCCTTCCACCCAGAAACACTCATTTTTTCAAATTTCTACGCCACATCGCACGGTATTCTCATAGAAGGGAAACTCCCACGTTTACCTTTCAAGTCCCCAATGCGTAGGCGTCCGCAAGTGGACCCGCCATGGATTACACTTGCGCGTTATTTTGAAAAGCGAACGTAGATTCAGAGCTACTTCTCAATTAGAAATCACAGGCGACATTTAAAATTCGTTTTGAATATATAAATATATTAAATTAAATATCTAATATGTTGCAAACAATTTAAAATAATGTATTTTTATCAAAATTCATTTCTTACTATATTAGTTTTCAAATTTTACCGCGTTCTCCTTCCTGCTTAAGAAGTGACAACACTGTATGTATGTAGGCTGTCGAGGTCATAAATATTAGAAATGTAAAAGTCAAAAGTTTCAGCAAGAGTTTCACCTCTGCTATGTGCACTCTGTTCTATAGTCATATGAAGCAATACTGCGGCAGGATGCAGGATGCAAAAGGACACCAATATAAATAGACAACTCTTATTATGTCTGCTTGATCAATTTCATTGATTAAATTCGTTATGCGCATACATATTTCATGTATCATTTTCATTTAGCGGTAATCATTAAATGTGGCACAGAATGTAGAAATTGAACGATTGTACTTTTCATGTTGTGACATATTCGTTACGGATATTGTTTCTTTTACTGGATACTTTGTATACAAACAATGCTCTCTGAAGGACTTTGTACATTATGCTTCGTAGATGAAGGGTCAATTATTCGTTCATGTATTAATTTAACTTCTAGAATAATTTAAGATAGAAACAGTACATTATGTCGATCGATGATTCTTTTTATAGGAATGTATTTCTTCTCATGCAAGTTGTGTCACCATCATTGCATTGTGTAAAACATTTTAAACAGGTATTTTATTTATAGACAGTAATTAACGATGAAATAATGGAGTATGAGATGATCGATATGATAATTTCATCGATTGCAAATTCTTTTTATTCAAACTTACAAATGAGCAATATTGTTTTTATTTAATTAATTTATAGGGGATGTTTGAGAAATCCAATCAAAAAGGTTTCATTCATATTTCACATTATTTATTATCGATATATGATGCAAAGAGATTTAAAAAAATTGTTAGATGGCCAGTCCTAAACAAACAGGATGAAACACAGTACCGTTTAAAAGTGAAAGAATATTTAGAAGTTTTAGCCACAGAAAATTCAGATATAAATTTTCCAACAATACTTATGATTCACATAATACGTGCAGGAGGAACAAGGTTCTTAACAATTATGTGGAAATTATCACAAATTAGTCTTAGAGCTTACATTATGAGACATTGTAAATATTTGTACTAAAAATTAAAATTGACTCTAAAATTTATTCAGTTTGTTTATGAAATTAATTTTTCTTATAGATAATGGTAACTTGTTGCAAGCTCCTGATACAGGAGATA